ATAAAAAAACATACATATAAAAATAGTTTTTATTTGACATACAAAAAATAAGAATTATAAAAATTATTTACTATTATACATAAAAAATAAAAATATTATTATATATAATAAAGATTATTTATTTTATATATTTATATTTATATGTATATGTATGCATGCATGTATGTATGTATGTATGATTAGTAAATGATCCTATGTATCAAGCTTGAGCTCAGCTTGAAGCTTGGTTCAAACTGAGCCGAACCAAGCTCGAATAGCTCATGAAAAACTCGACTCTTGGCCACCCCTATTAAAAAGACATGATACATGAAAGACTTTGATCAATCAAAAGCCCCATGAATTTTGTTGAAAATCCACCTTAGTGGGAGGAGAAAAGAACCCAAGAAAGACACTACTCAGTACGTATTTGAAACTGATGTTGTTTTCTTTAAAAACTATGCAACATCAGCACCACATTTGAAATCTTTTTTTTTTTTTTGAATAAATGCTCACTATTCGGTTGGACATTTTCTTAAAAAAACATTTTATTTGACCATACCTTAAACCGGATTGCATTGGAACCAATGCCATTTTTTGGAACCATTGTTGTTATCGCATTGGTGTGCTATTTTTTGAGAGGTGTTTATTGAGAAAACGGTACTACATTGGTATGCTATTTTCTCTAAAATCATTTTTTGGGGATCATTGCTATTGCCACCACATAGGGATTTCCCAATGCCACATTAGCAAACTATTACTAGCAATAGTACAAAAATGAGAAAACACTAAAAAGGACATTTTCTCAAATCACACATTTCTCGATTTTCAAGGCATGGTCTGAAAAAATATTTTTCTAAAAAAAAATGTGTAACTAAACATCTTGTATGATCTGAAAAAATGGATTTCATATATGGCACTATTTTTCCAAGAAAACAACATCAGTTCCAAACACTAACTTAGGGTCCGTTTGTTTTGTAGGAATAGGGGTCCGGAATTGGAATCAGAATGGTTCAGGCGTTTGGTTGGGTGGAATCGGAATCCGATTCCCATTTCAAGTGGAATGGCAATCCCCCATTTTCGGGAATGGCCATTCTTGGCCCACCCACCCCCCGGGAATTGGAATCTCATTCCCGCTCTTTCACATAGAAAAACCAAAACGACAAAAAAACCCCTCAAACCTCTTCTAACCCGATTTCAACTATCTAACCCTCACTCCTCTCTCTCTCTCTCTCTCACTTTCTCTCTCCGTCTCTCATTACTTCCTCATTTAGCAGCTGGAGTTCGAAGTAGTGATCTGAATTTCAGAACCAAAACTCCGGCGACGGTGAGAACAAGGTAAATCACCATTTATTTTTTTCTCTCCTATTTCCTATTCTTCTTCTTCCTCTCTTTCTCTCTCTAACACACTTTACTTTTTCATTTCTCCCCAGTTTTTTCGTTGCAAACTTGATTAGACCACAACAAGGTTTGTTTCTTTCTTCCACTTGTTGTTTCTGCTCACCCTAAGGTTTGCTCCTTTTATGCCATATATCAACTGGGAGAAAAAAGCCTACTAGTCGTTGCTCTTATGGCCTTCTTGTGGTTGACTTCTTTGGTAATTATTCTTTATATCTAAAAATCTCTTTTTAAGCCTTCTCAATGATTAATGCAACACCGATCAGAAGTAGTTGGCTATCATCTTATATTTTTCTATTTAATTAGCTTTTCATTCACATCTTTCTGGGTTTTCTCTTTTCTTTTATCAAGTCCTCTGCTTTCACATTTTCTATTTAATGGCCTTCTTGTGGTTTTCTCTTTTTATAGCCCTTTGTCAACACTTGATTTTTATTTGGTTCGTCGTTTAAACCTCCAATTTACCCCAAATTCTCAATCAGACCCATTCAACCTTTGCGAAATACCCAAAAAACCCGAATTTCACCCTGAAAGCCCTTAGATTCACTGTTAAACCTATCTGATGCCCTTGATCGACCCCCACTTACACCTCAACCATTAGATCAGACACAACCACCAGACCCAGAACCTCCCAAAATACCTACCCATGAAATTTTAGCTTGAAATTCCTCCATTTACCCTTTCATCAAACAAAGATTCCATTTCAACCTTTATCATTAGTCTAAACACTCAAAACCCAAATTCCCTTGACCTTGACACATCTGAACCAATGATCAAATCACACCATTAAACTCCGGATACATCTAAACACCTTCCCATAAAGTTCCAACCCCAGATTCCTCCATTTTCCCTTTATCAAACCAATATTTCGTCCCGAAACATCCCATCGATCCAAATTCATATGATCTTGACCCTCTAAGACTGATCAAACCTCACCATCAGATCCCAGACACCCCCAAATACCCACCTGTGAAATTTCAGCCCAAAACACCTCCATTTACCATCAATCATACCTAAATTCCATTTCAAGGCTCCAAATTGACCGGATTCCAAGTCCGCCCGATCCGGGCCTAGTTGGCCCAATCCAACCTTACCAATAACCTCAGACTATCTGAAAACCCTACCTTGTAAAGTTTCACCCAAAACAAACATTGTTTACCCCTCGATCACACAAACATTCTATTTTAAGCCCCTAGATTAACTAAATCAAGCCCTTTCCATATCTTTTCGATCTAGGACCATTTGGCCCAATCTAACCCCACCAATCAACTCAGAATGTCCTAAAATCCCACTCTGTAAAAATTTCATCCAAAAATACCCTTATTTACCCTTTCATCTAAAAGATTCCATTTCGGTCAATCTCACTAGCCTACTCACGCAAAACCTTTCTCAGCGGTCAAACCCATCTCAACCTTCAATTTTTTTTACCCGAAACCACCCACCATTGGATCAGAACCCCAGTTCAACCCATTAGACCCGGTTTGACCCAATTGTTTAAAATTACCAAAATACCCCAATGTTCTCCAAAATTATAAAAATACCCCCAAACTACACAAGATGCCTCACACCAGCCTCACACGTACATCTTACCATGCATTGGAAGAGACCACTGTTAAGGGATTTCTCGAAGGGGATTTTCACTGTCTTCTCCCTTCGAACGAAGAAACTAGCGACGACAATTTCTCCCCCTCCCAGCCATTCATTCTTCATCTCTCTCTCTCTCTCTCTCTCCATCTATCTCTCTCTCTTTTTCTTCCCATTTTTTCCTTCCTCTCCTACCTTCGACCAGCCCTGTTCATCATCTTTTCCAAGAACACTGAACTCCTAACGATGGTACTACCCCAACATTCTTACACAACTCCAGCGTATATCTGATATCTCAACCATCATTCGATTTAATTTTCTTCTTGTATCATCTCTCCTCTTCACCCCATCATTCAAGGCTTTCTGTAAACAATACATGAAAGCTATGTTCTTGGTCCTCATCATCGGTTAACCCGAAACATTAGCAACGGTGGAAATCCAACCGTTCTATCCTTCCTTTCCGTTTCGAAGGAGATTTATAACTAAGGGGATCGTCCACTCCCATAAAACTTTCGATCAGAAACCGTTTCACCATCATTGATCGAGAAAACAGTTCGAAGTTGCGCTAACTAAAATCTCCCATTTACATTGTCCTCCATCTGGCCAAAATCAGCCCAGGTAAGTCCTGCCTGCGTCATTTATAGCAGATAAGGGCAACTTTTGGGCCCTAATATCAATAAAAGTAATACTTTTAAAAAATTTTCAAAAATAGGTTAACTTTTAAAAAATAATACCAATCAAGGGCAAAAACACTATTCATCATCTTCCTCTTGCAATCCATTCATCAGTGCCACCGTCCGTCGCCTTCAGCAACGCCTCCGCCTATCTCCACCCACCTCCGCCTCCAACAACGTGCCACCGACAACGACACTAGTGGGAGGAGGTGGCGGCATTGGGTAGAGGAATGACCACCAACGCCGCTACCGCTGTCACCGCCTCTGCCTCCGCCCACCTCCGACATTGTTGCTGGAGGTGGAGGTGGAGGTGGGTGGAGAGAGGCGAAAGCGTTGTCGGAGGCGGCGGTGAACGCAGTGCTGATGAATGGATTGCAAGAGGAAAAATATGAACAATATTTTTGCCCTTAATTTATATTATTTTTAAAAAGTTAACCTATTTTTTATTTTTTTTAAATATTACTTTTATTGATATTAGGGCCCTAGAGTTGCCCTTGTTATAATCCTTTTTTTTTATATATATCTCATTTCTTTTCCTAATTTCTTGCCATGAAGTAATAGGCATTGGGTTGGCTCTCGGAGCAGCGAAGAAGCTCCCTGCCGAACCAGGGGCGGATCAGCCCGTCAGGTTACTCGGCCATGAAAAGGCATGTTCGATTTTGGTATGCCGGATCCGATCCAATCCGGACTTGTCGTACCTGACAAAAATCAATGTTGTCGTCATGGTCAGTGTGCAAATGCGAACTGAATGCTAGGGTTGTTCACGGGTCGGGTTGGGTCGGTTTACTGCGGTTTTTCCAACTGACCCGACCTGGTCGGGTTACCTGACATAGAAACCGAAACCGACCCAATGTTAAGCAAAACCGACCTGGTCGGTTTGAGTCGGGTTGGGTCGGTTTTGGTCGGTTTCGGTTCTAAGTTCATTCTTGTGATAAAATCTTGTTTATTTTAAAAACAGTCATAAATTGAACATCATTTCAGCCATCTCCTATGATAAAATTTAAATGAAAAGTTAATCACAAAAGTTGTTCATTAATCACTATTCACTAATCCAAAGTTTCTTGCAACCATTCAAAAACTAGGTGGCCTAATGGGCTTTGAAACTTCATATTTGAACTAGGAACTAAGTCGGTTCGATTCGGGTCGATTTTGGTTTTTTTGTGTGAAAACCGAAACCAACCCGAATCATCGGTTTAGGAATTTGCACAACCTGAAACCGATCCGTGCTGATGAAAACCCGGCCGACTCGGATTGGGTCGGTCCGGGTTGGTCGGTTTGGTTATGAACAGCCCTACTGAATGCCAAGCCAAATGGTCGAGTCATTTAAGAGGCCCGTGACGGCAAAGCCCGTGATGATAGCATTCACCCAAAAAGAGAAAGGAAAGGAAGACGAAACCGACGAACCTCACAAAAGGATCTTAGGTTTCTGTATCTTCGCTTTTCAATTTCTCTTTGATCGTTTCTTTCAATTTCTATATTTTCTTCCCGGATTTTTCTCTCCGTAAAAGAAGATGTTGGAGAAGATCGGATTGCCGGCGAAGCCATCGCTTCGAGGAAATAATTGGGTGGTCGACGCATCTCACTGTCAGGGATGTTCTTCTCAGTTTACATTCATTAATCGAAAGGTTTGACTTCTCTCTTCTTTAATTTGATGACCCTGTTTGGATTTTCTGTTATTTCTCATATTTTTCTTCGAAATCGGTGTTGCAAAATTTTCTTCCCCCATTGATAAGATGGATTATGATTTTGCTTTTACGTATTGTATCCTATTTTCGTTTTCTTTTGTAAATTGTTCATTCATATTGATTGTACAGACATTTTAAGTTTCTTACTGTCAATCTTCGACAAACTCGTTTTACGTTTGACTTTTAAAGGTAGCATTGGTATCAATTAGTGTGAATTAGGAGTGCTTTTACTTTTTAATGTTTACTGAGAAAAACTAGAATTGTTTATACACTATATCATGTGGAGTTATTAAGAAACAAAACAAAGTTTAATTTATTCTTCTGGGAGCTCAATTGGATCTATTAGTTGCATAGATGCTATGGGGACTACTAAATTCTACTCAAAAGTGGCTAACGGCAGATAGAAAGATGACACTATATGACATGATTCACTGCAACATTTAGTGAACCGAAAGCAAAAGGTTTACTATTGGGTTTGGGGTTGATCTAGAAACTACATGATATTCCTTAACCTTCAAGGCTTCAAGTCATTCCTCAACCTTTGAAATGAATAGTTCTATCAACATGGTAGTAGAGGGATTGCTAATTTATTTTAAGGTTCTTTTCCAGTATTCTTCCTCTTTCTGTCTTATAGATATTCCTTGCTTTGGAGTTTCAGCATCATTGCCGGAGATGTGGGGGCTTGTTCTGCAACAGTTGTACGCAACAGAGAATGGTCCTACGTGGTCAAGGTGACTCACAAGTTCGGATATGTGATCCTTGTAAAAAACTTGAGGAGGCCGCACGATTTGAGATGCGGCATGGGCAGAGGAGCAGAACTGCAAAAGGTCCATTTCAGTAATTCTAGTATTTAGTATAGTTAAGTTAGACATGTAGAAGATTATTTCCTCTATTCCAATTATTTGGGCACTTCTGGTTTCAGTTTGAAGTTCTCATCACTATGTTACAATCTCTGTCCTTTTATTATTTATTTATTTTTTCATGTCTTTGATTTTTTAGCTTGTTAAGTGGAATGAATGTTTGTTGCTTATTGTTGTGTTCTTTTTCATCTTTTAGATTTTGTTTCCATCTTTTCATGAGGGAAAGTGATTGAACTATTGGACCTGCTGGTGCTACAAAATTTCTACTTCTTCACTCTTTTCTTTTAACTGATCATTTTACCCTACCACATGTTTTTCCCAAATTTTTAATGACATCTTTTTTTTTTTTTTTCTATTCTTGAAGCCAAATTGTACAGGAACATTTTTCCTATACTGTACCCTTTCCTTATAGGCATTTTCTAGCCATGCCTTGTAGAAATGCATTTATACATGATAAATAAAATCAACTTGAAGTATCTTCAGTTCAAACTAAAATTGACTTTGATGAACTTGAACTACTACTGTTTTTTTCTTCTTTTGATAAAGGTGAAGAATTGTATTAAGTAAAGTACTGTTGGGTTAAGTATATAATTACTGAACTAATCTTACTATTAGCTTTAATTAAAATTGTATGCACAGTGCTATTGTCGGCAGCATATATTCCTGGCTAGGTGTCAACTAATTTGGTTTGCAACTAATAGATGGCTATACAAAAAGTATATGTGTTTTAAATATTAAAAAGGGGAAAAAGGTGAGGGATCAACTGTTAAGGCTTTCTATCAAAAACGTGAATAGTTGAGGTTGAGATGTAGGTATTAGGTAAGATTCTTCAAAGTTTGGTAAAACAGGCTAAGGAATCACCCTAAAACTGGGTAACGGCACAAAATAAAGGCTTTTAATTGACTGTTAGTGTGGAGACAGGCCCCTGGAAAACTCTTATCCAAGCCTTTTTAATATTGCAGAAAACAAGGAGGCCCCACTGTGCCTGATTGTTCTTTGTATACCAATTATTGTATGGTCCCCCAAGTTTAGAAGGAATATTTACCATTGGGAGATCGGGCAATTAGAGGAGTTGCTCTGTCAGATCCAAAATCACCAGCTGAACACCAATGTTGAGGACAACAGAGTCAGAGGTGGGATAAATCTGGATGCTTCTCAGTTAAATCTATGACCAGTCATCACACACATGCTTCTAGCTTCTCCTATAGATCTGTTTGAGTTTGTAAAGTTCCATTTAAAGTGGCTTTTCTAGTTTGGATAGCTGCTCTTGGCAAATGTCTAACCAAAGACAAGCTCATCCGAAGGGGTATAAACCTTCCATCCAGCAGCTGTTCTTTATGCAATATTTGACCTGGAGACTGCTGACCATGTCTCTCTGCAATGTCCTATAAGCAGTAAAGTCTGGGCTCATTTTCTTAGTAGTCTTTAGTTGAGCTGGGCCTTCCCAAATGATTGTTGACTGTGGTCTTTTGAGATTAATTTGAGAGGAGAGTAGTTCCAGGATGTTTTATATATGCATGTGATCCTCAGGCTGTAATAGATTTAATTACTTTAAGCGTTTCTAGTAGGATATTTAGAGCAGTGTTATGGTAAGGCAATCGCTAGTTGTTTTAGCCTCTCTAGGTTTGATGGGGGGTATCCCATCCCCCAACCCCCCAACCCTGGTGGCAGTGGGATTTAATCCCAAGTCTCTGCTACAACTAGCCAGGAGAATTTACCAACTGAGCCACCATCAGTTTGTGATTTATCCTCTTTAGTCCGTGCAATAACTAGTTGGTGCCTACTGCCTAGATGATGACTAGTCAATGAAAAAAATAGGTTTGAAATTTAAGACATTGTTGCAATCTCAGAAATAAGTCCATATAGATACAAACATGTTCTATATTATTCTAAATAATTAGAGATGCAAACAAATAAATAAATCTTTAAAATGACTTTGTGGTTGACTATTCATTAATCATCTAGTTGATCTTATTGATGCTTAATCATACTAGGCAACAACATCATATTGACCAACTAATTAGTGATACAGTGATCTGGCCCTCAGCTGACTAGTTGACACTTCGATAAGACTGATTTACAGTTTATGAGTTACAGGAATCTCGGTTGATTCAGTTATTACAAATTGATATTTGATTAAGGAATCTCACCTTCTTAATTGAAATTAAGAAAATGCCTTCCCCCCTGCCACCCCTCCCCCCAAATAAAAAAGGATTTGATTACCATAAGAGTTACTACTTAGATATTGGCAGTTGAGGTATTTAGGGAAATCTTAGTTGATTCACTTAGTACAAATTGGTTTTGATTCAGGTATCTCACCTTCCTAATTGAAATTGAGGAAATGTCCCCCACTATTTTCAGTGGTTCCTCTAGTGGGTCTTAGAGGATAACAATACTTCATTGGAATGCTAAATTCTTGGCTTCCGGATTGAACACCCTATTCATCTGGGTTTCTTGATTTGCTGATATTGCGGATGGTGCTTGCTTGAAATGGTGCATCAAGAAATCTTGTTCTATATCTTGCTTTGTTACATGGTTTGTGCAATGTTCACCGTTGAGAGATATATTGTATTTGGGTTGTTGGAGGTTACAGGGTATATTTGTAATATTGTTAAATTATGAGGACTTGTATGTGTTTATGGGAGAAAAGGGGCTTATGTGTAGTTCTGATATAATTTGGTCTTTTGCTTATTTAAGCGAGTGGTTGTGTGGGATTAGGGTTGAGTGAGTGAGAGAGAGAGAGAGAGAGCTGTATCTTGTTTTCATTGTGGATATTTTTCCTCTCCTCCCATGGATGTAGGCTACCAAGTCGAACCACGTTAAATCTTGGCATTCTCTCCATTTCTTCTTATTTTCTCCTTGATTTGCTATTCTGTTTTATGTTACTTGACATGCACCTTGTTATGTTTCTATGTTGGTGTATATCTTTTGGCTCTTTATGCTTGTATACATGTATGTCTGTATAAGGATCAAAGACCAAGGCGGGATACAAAATTTTCATTAAATTGTCCTGAGCAAAAAGATTAAAAAAATGTGATTCATCCATCACATAGAAAAAGAAATGAAAGGATAAAAGTACATCAATTGAATAGAAATGGTTTTGGTAATGTATACAAATATGATAGCAATGATAAGGAATTTGCAGAAATTAGGTTGCAATTCATTAGTTCAAAAACCATCACTTTCTGTTAAAATAATACTTGACCTGGTTTTAGAAACCTTAAAATTTTTATGTCCTACTGAATTCAATTAAGCCTCATTCCTAATTGAGGATTCCTACATAAAACCTACTCTGTGATTCTACTTTAAGTGAAATAATCTTCTACCAACATATCACAAATAGGTTTCTTTGATTTTCCCCTGTGATTCCTAATTGAGGATTCCTACATAAAACCTACTCTGTAATTAAGCCTCATGGAGTTTTTTCTCATAGGTTTCTTTGTTGCCTTTAGGGCTTAGAAAACCTTAAAAATTCAACATAAAAAAGATAAAGAACCTAGTATTTTCTAAGTATGTCTTTATGTTCTTTGTGTGTAATGTTGGAATGTATTAGTTCTTTATGCGCATCTGTACAGTAATGACCTTAAACTTTTTTGTTTCCCTTCTGTCCCCTTTATTTTAAATAGTAATTTCATTATAAATCGTAAAGTGTTACTTATGCATCCTTGCACGCAGTCATGCATCAAGCGGGATAAACTCGGGTTTTCAAATGGAAATGGATCAACATCTAATTGTTCTCTTCTGCATCCTTGATTTAGGTAGATCAAAACTGACATCAAAGCACGAGGAGGAAGTTCTAAATCAAATTCTTGGGAGTGACAGGAAGGAGACCTCTTTAGGACATATTTCCACCTTTGACATGGTCTCCAATCTTCAAAGGGCTACAAGCAGTGCATCTTGTTCAAATATAAATGAAGAATCTATTGCCCAAGATGGAGAACAAGACATGCATAGGTGTGTCACTGTGGACATGCAAAATCCTGCTCCAAGTGAGATGGGAAGCACAAGTCCAGAAGAGTTGCGTCAGCAAGCACTGGAAGAGAAAAAGAAGTACAGAATTCTCAAGGGAGAAGGAAAACCTGATGAAGCCTTAAGGGCCTTTAAGAGAGGAAAGGATCTTGAGAGGCAGGCTTTAGCTTTAGAAGCTGCATTAAGAAAGACCCGCAAAAAGGCTTCTTCTAGTAGTCTGGCTGACATCCAGAATGTAAAAGATGGCCTAAAAGAATCAGGTCAAAAGAGTAAACGATCTCATACAATGCTTAAAGAAGAAAAAGGTGACCTTGTTGCTGAATTGAAGGAATTGGGATGGTCTGACATGGATCTTCATGAAGCTGGTAAAAAGAAAGAAAAAATCAGTTTGGAGAGTGAACTGTCTAGCCTTCTTGGAGAAATCCCTCAAAATTCTAAAGGCAAGGGAAATGGGAACATTGATAGGAGCCAGGTCCTTGCTCATAAGAAAAAGGCTCTCATTTTTAAGCGGGAAGGGAATCTTGCAGAGGCCAAGGAAGAGCTAAAGAAAGCCAAGGTTCTAGAAAAGCAACTTGAGGAACAGGATTTCTTGGCTGAGGCCGAAGACTCAGATGATGAGCTAGCTTCTCTGATCCATAGTATGGATGACGATAAACAAGATGGATTTTCAATTGGATATGAGCAGGACCCAGGTTTTAACTTTGAGAACTTCGTTGATGTTGCTGATGATCTTGGTCTTGATGGTAATTTTGAAGTTACAGCTGAGGATATGGATGACCCAGAGATAACTGGGGCCCTAAAATCATTGGGTTGGACTGAAGAATCTTCTCACCCAGAGAACATTATATCCCAATCTGTTTCAATGGACAGGGAAGCATTATTAAATGAAATCCTTTCTCTGAAAAGAGAGGCTCTAAACCAAAAACGAGCAGGTAATACTGTGGAAGCAATGGAACAACTAAAGAAAGCTAAGTTACTTGAAAGAGATCTTGAGATGTTGCAGTCTCAGGCAGACATCTCTGCATCTCTTTCTTTGAAGCAAAAGGTTCAAGCCTCACAGACTATTGAAAATTCATCTATCTCGATTGAAGTGGATAATGGAACTGTTGGGTTATCGAAAATTATGGATTCTGAATTCCCCAAGAAAAGTAAGCTAATGATTCAGAAAGAGCTTTTGGGTCTGAAGAAGAAGGCTCTTGCTTTGAGGAGGGAAGGAAGATTGGATGAGGCAGAAGAAGAATTGAAGAAAGGAAAGGTCCTTGAGCATCAATTGGAAGAGATGGAGAGTGCTTCTAAACTGAAGGCCACAAGAGCGAACATTGGTAGGAGGGAATCAGAATCAACATACAAACATCCAGATGTGTTTACAGCTCCTGCATTGGGAGTTGAAGGAGATGAAGTGGATGTGACAGACCAGGACATGCACGATCCTGCATTGCTCTCTATGCTTCAGAATTTGGGTTGGAACAATGAAGATGTTGATGCTGTAAGTTTGCAATCAAGTCCTTGTCATGGTGTTACATTGTCTGAACATGCCACTGAAACTGCTGCAACCCAAACCCCTCCTAAAGTCGTGGCACCAAGAAAAACTAAAGCTGAAATTCAAAGGGAACTCCTAGGCTTGAAAAGAAGGGCCCTTGCTTTGAGACGCCAAGGAGAGGCTGAGGAGGCTGAGGAAGTGTTGAGAACGGCGAAGGTATTAGAAGCACAACTTGCAGACATGGAAGTTCCACTTAATACTCTTAATCCACAAATGAAGCAAGCAAATACATACCTTGTCCAGAAAAATGAAACCACTAATCCTCCTTCAACAAGTTCTGCTGGGCAAGAAGATGAAGAGGTTGTAACAGAAGAAGATATGAATGATCCAACACTTCTCTCTGGTCTAAAGAGTTTGGGCTGGAGGGATGAAGATGTTGAACTTCTTAGCAAGCCAACAAGACCTTCTAAACATCTAAATGAACAAGATACTGATTCATCTGTGATCAAACTCTCTTCTGAAGTCCCAGTTGTGTCATCAAGAAGAAGCAAAGCTGAAATCCAAAGGGAACTCCTAGGTTTGAAAAGGAAGGCCCTTGCCCTTAGACGACAAGGAGAGAATGAAGAGGCTGAGGAAATCCTAAGGACGGCAAAGGCATTAGAAGACCAAATGAAAGAGTTGGAAGTCCCAAAGCAAGATCTTCTGCCAGATTCTACCAAGGGACCGAATTACCCTGTGGTTTTGATTGCCCAAGAGGAAAATGGAAATATAACAGCTGTGGGAGAAGTAAGTAAAGTAGCAGCTGAGTCAACGGAGGGTTCAAAGGATAAAGTAGCTAAATTGCAAATTAACTTGGGTTGGAAGGACAGTAACACAGCAAAACCTCCTCCAGGTAGTTCTGCCAGACATGTCTCTGAAACTTCATGGTCCATCAGGGATCAGACTCCATTAATAGAAGTTGGCTACTCTGATGACAAGAGAGAAGTCGAAAACGTGTCCTTTCCCCAGTCACGTCAGTCTGCGAACCTGATTGATTTGTTGACTGGAGATGACTGGAGACGTTCCCAATTATCTATTGAAGAACCACAAAATAAAGGAAACATCACTTCTGATATGTCTAGTGTACCCACACCGCCAGGAACCTTTAGGAGCACAAAAATGGAAATGGGCAGTAAAGAGGCAATTATTTCTGAGAATAGTGGAAAAACAGTTCTTATAATCAATAATGGACTGAAGAATGAAGTCAATTCTGCACCACAATCTGTTTCTCATGACAATAAAAACTCTTTGCAGCAAGACATATTGGCTCATAAAAGAAAGGCTGTTGCTTTGAAGAGAGAGGGAAAATTGGCAGAAGCTAGAGAGGAATTGCGGCAGGCAAAGCTCTTGGAGAAGGGTCTAAATGAAATCTCTCAATCCGATGCATCCATCTCTACTTCAGATCATACTTCTGTTGGGCAAGAAGTTCGTAGAACAGAAAGTCAGGCTCCAAAACCAATGTCAGGTCGAGATCGTTTCAAGTTGCAACAGGAGTCCCTTGCGCACAAACGACAGGCTCTGAAGCTGCGGAGGGAGGGTCGTACAGAAGAAGCAGAAGCTGAATTTGAGTTGGCTAAGGCACTTGAGATGCAGCTTGGAGAGATGTCAGGGAATGACACCGGAAATACTGGCAAATCTGTCAATGAAGAAAAAATGGAAGATTTGAGTGTTGAGGATTTTCTTGATCCACAACTTCTGTCTGCCTTGAAAGCAATTGGGTTGCAGGATGCTGACATTGTCTCTCGAGACCCAGTAAAATCAGAAGTTGCTAAACCAACTACTGCTAAGAGAGAAAACTCCAGTCAAGAGAGAAGTCAACTAGAAGAGCGCATCAAGGAGGAGAAGGTGAAGGCGCTCGGACTAAAAAGGGCAGGGAAGCAAGCGGAGGCCTTGGAGGCACTTAGGACGGCCAAACAACTTGAGAAGAAACTCAATTCATTGCCTTCGTAGTGAAGCAGACCTTAGAATGCCATATTCTGAGCCACAACTATCCTAAGCTCGTATAATTTCAAACCAATATTGGAAGTGGACATGTATGTCATATATTATGACATTCATGCCTTTTAAGCAATGTTTTAAAAAACGACGTGGAACTGAAACCGTTTTGGCCATTGGTTTCTGGGTTGATGGTTCAACCGTCCGGTTCAAATAGACAGCCCATTCTGACAATAAATTAAAAATTTAAAAATGGCCAAAACTGTTGAACGGGTCGATGGTTTGACCACCTGGGCCGATGGGTCATTGACCGATTCAACAATTTTTTTTCAGGGACCCGGTTTAGGGTAAAATGGAACTGGTTGCCTTGACGGTTCCAGGGCCAAACAGTCCAACCGTCTATGTCAATGGTGGTTCGAAAACCATGCTTTTAAGGCTTTTCCCAAATTGTAAAAGAATTATTGATCAGTAAATGTTTCTCTTGTAAGCAAGGTTCAAACTTCAAAATATCAATATGTATTGACCGATACACATCATGCCAGGAGATTCCCAAATATGTCCCTACAGGGGTTGTATCGGGTCAGACCATGGTTCAGAGGGTAGTTAGGACTTAAACCAACCCTTTCGAAAAAAATAACTAAAACATAAAAAACACCGACACATACCGATAACGCTACCTTGCTTGTAAGTTTCAATTTCCACATCAAAGCTTCTTGTTTCATTTGCTTTATATTTTTCAATTATTTTATTACGGTGCCTCTTGGGCTGTTACCATGAGTTTCGGTGGTTCAAACAAGACAAAATTGTAATTCTTTTGAACTCTTTAGCTCAAGGCGCCCTCGGATCGAGACAAACGTCCTCCCAAATTTTATTGAAGAATCTCTTGCAACAGATTCCACACGATTCCACCATAATTTCGATTGATGAATGAATTCGCCCCAAGGGCTTTCAAAAATCAAAACAATGGACAAAAAGAATCACTCTGCATGAAGCATTTCAGTTATAAGGGGGGCCTGATAAAGGCCAAAGCAAATGATGCCTGGCAACTGATCTGTTGGCCCACAAAAGATAGTTGATTGCTTACCGGAGTCATCAGTCACGTAAGTCCCTGGTCCACAAAAGATAGAAGAGGGCTAAAAGCCCAAACAAATGCAATTGAAAAAGAACAGGAACAAAGAGAAGAAAAGGAAATTCAAGAAACTTCAAGTATTGAACCCAGGTACTTAGCGACCCTATTATCTATCCATTGTCCTTAATTTATCATTACGAAACTTTCGAGCCCTTGGAAGTGGGGGTTCACTTTAAGATAAAACGGAAATCGGCAGGCATAGGAAGGAAAATGGCCAACGCTTCAGGAATTATAATCCATATAGAAAGAGACTAACAAAGAGAAATAATATTGGAATTTATTATGATTCCGGTTTCGCACTTGGCGTGCAACGTTATTAAGTTGTAAACCCAGAATTCCCAAGGACGTTAACAAGTAACAGGCAACATTATTCTACACTCTCTAGTAACAATAGATTTTAGCCATTGTCTCATTATCCACCCATTTTGATGTTCCCGTGTTTCATAGTTCAATAATCAATCAGCTCAGTAGTCACTGTGACCTAATCTTTTGCCAAGTACTGTGGATCATCAAAGCTCTCTTGAGGCAAAATAGAGAACTAGGATTGCTGATCCAAAAGAACAAAAAACCCACGAGAGAGAGAGAGAGAGAGAAAGCTAGGATTTATAAACAGTACTGCCAAACTGAATCGTTTCAAACTTTCAATACATCGGTCGCTCAGATGGGGCTCCATTATCCTCAGATCATGCCGGTGGTGTTCTTGGTCTTGCATACTCAGCAAAGATAACCCACCCATCGAGAAACTACAACCAAGACAAAAATTAGAGGACCATCAATAAATATAAAATCAATTACAAAAGAGAGGATACGTGTTAGTAAAATAATTAAAAAAAATTAGGGTTTCAGGACCAGGTGGTCAAACCTTTTTATAAGTAACCAGAAGAAGATAAATACTAGTAAAAGGAAAGAATAATTTATATTGAAGAACAGGAAGAATCAGCGGGAGGATAAAGAAAGCCCAAATAACTCTAGATGTTGATTTTGCATTAACACAGAGATGTCTGAAAACTTCTTGCAGCAGCAGCATCCTTCAGGATAGTGGTGGCAATTGGGCAGGTTGGGTTGGGTTTGGTTTGGGTTGAGCTTCAACCCAATTCATCTAATCCACCAACCCATTAATAACCCAGTTTGATAAAGTTAAATGTGTTAGGTTCAACCCAAACCCGCCTTGATCCAATCCAACTCACCCAACCCATTAATCTTATGGAGAAGTACGGACAGGTCCAATGCAGAGCTATAAACATTCAAAATGTCAAAAACCCCCACTCTACACACCAATGCCCGCCCGTGAATTGGCATCAATTCCGAGCTGGCACCCCCCCAACTGTACTTTGGGCCTAAAAATTCTGACCCTGGGCTGAACTGCCATTCTCCCTTAATCTTATAACAACTTGGTTTATGTACTTAAAAGAAAAAACCAATTTCCTTATAACAAATAAGTTGGTCATGGCTTGATGGTAATAGTGATTATTCTCTACACAAGTGAAGATTCAAATCACATTACATGCATATTATTTTTACAAGGAGAATAAAAAGCAATTAAGCACATGGACCCATTTGACTATGTTCGGGTTTCGGGTTTGGCCAAACCACTTAGGTTCAAATCGGTCAAACCAACTTGAACCATCCGGATCCAGGTTGTGTTGGTTTGGTACAGACTTGCCCAAATTGTGTAAGGTCCAGACAGGACCAGGTTGAACTGACCCGGGTCGGTCCGAATTGTTTGGATCCAAGTTGGTATGGACCTGGTTAGTCTAGATTACTAGGTTGTTTGGGTTGATTCAGGTTGGGTATAGTTGGGACATTTGCACTAGAATCAAATCGGACCAAATTGGGCCATTTGACTGAATTTGGATTTATGTCGATTTGGGTAAACTATGTTGGCTCAAGCCAAAACTAATTTTAGTCAATAATTAATAGAAAATTAACGTATTAATTTTAAATTATTTCACACAAATGAAGAAAATTAAAGAAAATGGCTAAGGAATTCACACTTGTATCATTAACGGTCAACCCAATGGATATCCACAACCCATTTAAATTGACCCAATGGGTCATAACCCATTTCCAACCCGCCAAGTAAATGGGCAGGTTGGGTGGGTTGGATGGGTTCAACAGGTTTGGTGAGAAATTGCCACCTCTACTTCAGGCACAGAAGGACGAGTGGTAAGTTTTGTCAAAGTTTCAAGCTAGGTTTTATCGAAGCTTCTGAATATAGGTGATTTCCTGAAGTCTGGATCTCCTGCCCACGTTTATCGCGGCCACACATGGAGAACATCTCATCCTCTGCATAGTATTATGCAGGGGGAGATGTTCCCAATTCACGGAGGATAGTGTATTGTGGGTACGCGTGGGCAGAGTGATCGTGGGCAGGAGATCCGGAGTCGATTTCCTGGGGGTGTCAATGAAGGGTCTAGGAGTGACAAAGGAATATCCAGTGGCAATTGAGAGAAAAGTTTTGGAGGAAAAAGGGAGAAGAGGGCGCAAAACAGACAATTAACTGTTTAGGCTGGCTTGGGGCTTGAATGAGAAGGCCGGTAGTGTGAGTCGGGGTAAGAAGACGGGTAAGGAGCGGTGAAATGGTAAAAGGACCATGGATGTGAAGTTTTATATATCAAGCTTAGTTTCATTAGTGGTGTATATATGGACTCGTTTAAATTAGCGTCTTGGAATACAAGGGGCCTAAATTCAGGTTGTAGGAGGGTGGTTACCAATGCGTTTTTGAAAAAATGGAATCCGGGTATTCTGTGTCTTCAGGAAACGAAGATGGAGAAGATAAATCAGACAGTAGTGAGAAGTATATAGGGGTGCAGCTGTGATTGGGTAGCTTTACCTACAGAAGGAATTGTTGCGGGGATCCTGGTGGTATGGGATTCGGAGGTAATATCAGTCAAAGACAAAATTATAGGGCAGTTTCCAGTTTCACTGTTACTGCGTTCACAGGACAGGGACTGGGAGTGGGTCTTGACAGTGACATATGGGCCTAACAAAGAGGTTGAGAAACTCTTTTTGGGAGGAATTAGATGATACAAGAAGGAAATGGAGGTATCCTTGGGTTATAGGTGGGGATTTTAACGCGATCAGATTCTCCTATGAGAAGAAGGGTCAGAGAGAAAATAGGAGGGGAACGAGTGGTTTTGTGGAGTTTATGAGGAGGTGGGAGATGGTAGATTTACCGTTGCTGGGGGGGGATATACTTGAACAAACAAGCAGGAAGAAGCAACATTGGTTAAACTAGACATTTGTGGTGTCTACAGAGTGGGAGGAATATGGCTAAAAGGGAGTTTGACAAATTAGCTTATAAAGAGGAAATTAAGTGGAGCCAAAGGTCAAGGTGTTTGTAGCTGTGAGATGGATATAACACGAAATTCTTTCACAAAATGGTTAGTGCAAGGAGAGAAAATACAATAAAAAAATTGGAAATTCAGGGGATGGAAAGAGAGGAGGAAAGACAGATAAAAACACAGAGTGAATTTCTATGAAAACTTGTACAAGGAAGATTGGATATGCAGACCTACATTAGAAGGATTGCATTTTGAAACCCTCTCAGCAGAGCAAGCCAAAGAGTTGGAGAAGCCATTCACAGAAGGTGTGGGAAGTCATGAAGGGCTGTGAGGGAGACAAGGCACCAGGACCTGATGGTTTTACAATGCTTTTTTATAAGAAATGTTGGGAAATCGTGAAGCTTGATGTCCTAAATGTATTAAGAGAGTTTCATGACAGGGGAGCTCTCAAAAGAAGCCTAAACCACATGTTTATCACTCTAATCCCAAAGAAGAAAGGGATAGTAAGGCAGTATGATTCCAGACCAATCAGCCTTGTCAGTAGTTTATATAAGATCCTAGCTAAACTCTTGGCTAACAGAATGGAAAAAGTGATGTCAAAACTGATTGCTGAAGCTCAAGGTTCTTTCATAGGGGGGAGGCTGTTAGTAGATGGGGTTCTCATAGCTAACGAAGTAATAGACTCAAGAAGAAGTGGGTTCGCGCGTTTTCTGTGTAAGGTGGATATGTAGAAGGCTTATGATCATGTAAACTGGAATTTCTTGGACTACATGTTGAAGAGAATGAATTTCGGGGAGAAATGGAGGAATTAGATAAAAGTGTCTTTCTTCTTCCTCTTTCTCAGTTCTTGTGAATGGGAGCTCTTGTGGGAGGTTTAGAAGTTCTAGGGGATTAAGACAAGGGGACCCTCTATCTCCCCTCTTGTTCATTTGTGTGGCTGAAGCACCCTACAGGATGGTAGAGAGAGAACGGATGGGAGGACTGTTAGAAGGTTTTAAAGTAGGCAGTGGAGAAGAGGAGGTAACACTATCCAATTTGCAGATGACACCCTTTTCTTCTGTGATGCAGTTTGGGAGCAAATCTGGAATGTGAAGGCAATCTTGAGATTGTTTGAGGTGGTAACAAGTTTACATATATGCCACTTTATTGTGTTTGCATATAATTTCACTTGTTCTTTTTGAGGATCTTTAGGTATTGAAGATGGCTGTTACCAGGATTGGAGTCTTGACCTTCTGGTTGCCAGGAAGGTAGGAAGTTGACTATGGTGTGGTCATATTTTGCTAGCTTCTGGAAAACTTAATTTTGCATTTAGAAATTATGGAGGAGAAGTTTGTTCCAGCAACCAGGTGGAAGAAAGTCCTAGTTGTGGAAAAGAAGACTTTTCTGTTGGAAGAACTAGGTGGAGCTTCAGCGGTAAAAATCAGAGAAGAAAAACGATCCATGGTTATCTTATGTAGGGAGGCTTCAAGCTGGCTAAAAGGATTCTTCGATAGCATATTATTTGCCATTACAGAGACAGGTTAGAAAGGGGATCTTTGTGTGCTGAAGAAAAAATCCATAGTGGAGAAGAAGATGGCGGGAGAATTCATTCAACTGACTGAAATGTTTGGAAGGGGAAAAGGGCAGATTATTCGTATCCCTGCTGGAAAGGAGAAACAGGGGTGGCTGCAGTTCGCGAAGGCCCTGAATGAGTACAAGCAGAGACTGTGGTTGCTGGAAAGACAGTAGGAATGAGCATCGTCCACCTGATTCGAAGACTTCTTCTGAATCTCCTTGTAACGAGGAAAAGATGACGGGAGTTGGAGGTATCTGTGGTAACTCCCTCTGCTCAAAACTGATGGCTGACGGCGGTTTGGAGGAGTGGCAAAGAAGAAAGGTGGTTAGAATGGGTAAGAAGGTGGATAACTGAGAAAGAGTGCTACAGGATGTAGTGGCCTCTGTGCCGACGACAGAAAAGGCATTACTTCGTCCATTTGGGGAAACAGCAGCAACTTTAGATATGGATAGTAAAGCTAAGAATCTAATCAAAGTATCCACAAGAGAGGGAGTAGCGTCAGTGGAAAACTGGAATCCCTCTTGCAACAGGATGGAGGTAGATTATGAGTCCTTTCGTCTGAACATTGTGGGACTTCCCTTTAATCTTTGGACAGAGGAAACATCCCTTCAGATTGCAGCAATATGTGGAGGATTCATTCTGGATGTGGATGTCTGATCTTCGAGTGGCCAGCTTGCGGTTAGGGGGATCCAAGCCGGAAAAAATTCCAAGGTTGATCCAAGTTTTCTCAGACGACAGGTGGAGGCAAGTGTGGGTAGCGTCGGAAGTTGAATCGCTCCTTTGGGAGAAAGGGCGAAAGGTTGAAGATGATTACGTGGCAGATAGAAGGCCACGTGGTGAGGAGAGAAAGAGAGACACGAATGCCAATCATGGTTTTCCCCCAAAAGAAAATAAAAAGTTGGGC